CACTCTTCTATTAAGAATTTTGGCTTAAAGACATGTTCTGGTAATTTTATTAAAATTTTATGCCACAACAGTTTTCACCAGATTGAGACCAAAACACAAAGTAGAAAAGTAGGGTTCCTTTCACTCCATACCAGTTTCTTAGCCAACATTATAGTTTTCAGATGGGTTAGTTAACTTAGTACCAAGACATTTTTAGTGACTTTTTCACTGAGAATTATTGAAATTTCTATCTGGACTCTGACTCATAGGCAGAAAGGTTGAACACCTAAGCTTTCAAGAGTTCACAGATGATACTAGGAGAATGAATGGTTTAGAGAAAGAAAGCATGCCACCAAAATAAATCTGCAGAAGCAAGTCAACATGCATTTTACTATACATCCTACTAATTTGTTGTCTTTATGAATGCAAATACGTGTATTCTTAAACGCGCTTGGTGTTCTAAAGCAGGGCTTTTTGAATATCATGTGCATTTGGATTGTCTGGGGGATCCTGTTAAAATGCAGATTCTGATGCAGTAGGTCTAAGTGGAGCCCAAGATTCCACACGTTTGCCAACTCCCAGCTGATGCACACGCCATCAGAGAAAGATCACACTTGCGCAGTTAAAGGTCCAAAGGTCAGAAAGTGTGACTTTAAATCCAACATCACTCAACAAACTGCTCGGAATAGTTTAAGCTTTAATCAAAGTGGGTAACACCAAATACGCATCAAATATATCTCTTGGAGGAGAATGCCCCTAGCCAAGTTTATCTTTATCAATTATCTGAAAAGTTAAAAATACTAACACTGAGACACCTTTCTCCTGGTATCTATGTGGCGTTCAGTGTAATTATTACTTCACAGGAAAAGGCCTTGTGTGAGATTTCGCTTGAATGTTTTCATTTGGTGAGAGAGAGGCACGAACCAGAACATTTTAAATCTCAGTCTATCCCACTCGTACAGCCCTCTGGTTCTGCGAGTGGGAAGCTGAGGCTGGGACCAGGCGACCGGGCACATAGGATCACGGAGGGTGCTTTGTCGTTGAAGGGCACGGTATGCCGCGGCCAGTGGGAGTGCACCGCGAGGCTGCGCATTTTTGCTGGGAGTTTTCCTCCTAGAAGCTCAGGGAGCGAGAGGCGATGGCGCAGGAACGGAGCTCACCCGCCCTCAAGGGAGGAACTGGCTCAGAGTCGCACGAGGGAGGCTGTGTTCTCCACAGAGCAGCCCTCCGTGCTGGTCAGGGACTATGGGAGCCACCGAACCGCCTTCTTAGTCAGTATGAAATCTTGTTTTTAGTTTCACGCGTTTTCCAAAATAACTAGTTCTCTTTCCTGTTTTGCAGGGGAGTTGTTTCCATGGTCATTTTGAAAATGACAGAAACCCAAGCTGGAGAATACCTACTTTTCATTCGGAGTGAAGCTACCAATTACACAATATTGTTTACAGTGAGTATAAGAAGTAAGTCCAGCCTGCTGCTAGTATTCCAGCCTGGAATACCACGGTGTTCCAGAGGAGTGCTTTGCAGCCCAGCAGCTTTGAACAGCTCCTCTAGACACGATATTCAGCTTCCCCCAATACGCAGTTCACTGGTGACGTTCACGTCAACCATCCACACAACCTAGAGAGAACTGAGACTCTGACGTGTCCTGTGGCCTCTCAGAATGTGAGTGCTGTTAACAAATCTGGGACAGCCTCTGTTCAGGTCCCCCATTTCTTCAGTAACAGATGGGGAAGAAATGGAAAACATTTTGACCTTGGAGTCAGAAGACCTGGGTTCTAATTCTGGTTCTGCTCCTACCACCTTTGGCGGGTCACTTAATCTCTCTTGGCCTCAATGGGGGCTGTAAAATGGGGGTAAAAATATATATACCCCACAGGATTTTAAGGTCTCAGCAAAATTTGATAGAATTTTCTGGAAGGATGAAAATGTTCTTTGTCTGCCTCGTCCAATACAGTAGTAGCCACTGGCCCCGTGGGGCTGTTGAACACTTGAAACGTGGCTAGGGTGACTGAGGAACCAAAAGTTTTAATTTTATTTCATTTTAATTAACTAAAATTTGAATTCGAATAGCCACACGTAGCTAGTGGACTATTATACTGTACCTAGCTGTACACGGTGGCGAGTGCAGCTGTATGCTGTAGCGGACAGCGCAGGTCTACCCAAATGCCAGACCGTGTGCACACGGTAAGGAACAATCCAAATGTTCTTACCAAGGGAGGCAGCTGTGCGGCTGGCGGAGTCGCCACCTGCATGTGCTTTCCGGCCTCTCCTTGTTTCGTCCTCCCCGTGCACTGACACGCGCACGCCGGGCGCGCTGCCGTGCCTTCCGTGACTAATACGGACTGGAGGTGGCGCGTTCACGTATGTCCTCGTGCCTTGGACATACGTGGATGCACTCGGGCCAGTGAAGTGCTCCAAAATCCCTGAGTTAATACCGCTTTAAATTAGGTTCCCTGGCTACACGTTTGTGCAACTCGCCAGACTCCCCTCGTCTTTGACTGCGACTCAAATACACAAAGCATGTGTGTCCAGCCCGCAGAGGTGCCCCGGGTCAGGAATAACCACAACTTCCCCTTGCTGGAGATACTCCGCCTGTGTCGTCTCAGACGCTCACAGTGACCCTGCGCTGACACAGTCTGGAAGCAGGTGCTCTGAGCGCTGTGGCGATGGGCACAGCTGGAGGCCCACTCGAGGGATCTGCTCTTTCTGTGCCGCACCGCACCCCGGGTCTGCTGTACGAGTGCAGGGGCTTGCCCTGAACGCCGTAATACTAACAGAAGAGAGCACTTTAGATTCCCGGAAGTGTCATCTTCCTGGGGTTGGGGTGGGGTGTTATGTTCTAAAGTCAGCCTGTAAGACAAAAATCAGGTAAAGTCACAATTTGTCAAGATTTGTTCTAGAAAGCCCTTTAATTACCCTGAAATTGGGAGGACCTGAGCCCTAGAAGCACAAAAGCCAAGAGTTAACCTTTTGTTGCCCCTTGATTTTGGTCTTGTTCCCTGTCCCGTTCCCAGCCCCGCACCCGCTCTGTGGAACAGTGAGTGTGCGCCCCAGGTTGGAGGGAAGACAGTTCTTTCTTTCCCCCTCTCGCCCCTCTCTCTTGCTGTCTTTCTCTCTCTGTTTGCCAAGCATATATATAGTTGTGTAAGGTAAGTGGACATCTATCGTGTCTCTGCTATATTTAGGGTATCTTTAACTTAAGATTTACAATGTAAAAACGTAACAACAATCGTTTAAGTATAAATTGTAACATGTCTTTAACAAACACCTGCTGGGTGATGAGGTCCAAAAAAATAGGTGGGAGAGACTTGGCAACAGTCACTGTGAAAAAGAGGAAAGGGTTTAGTTAACCACAAGCTCAGTATTAACCAACGGTTTGGCATGGTTGCTAAAAAAAGTAAATTTGAACCGTGGCAGCGTTCATGAAAATGTAACATTGACATGAAGAAAATTAATGGAGATTGTTATTTTCAGTACTATATTTTTTCAGATAAATACTGACAAAATAGAGCAACCAAGATAGCGAAGAACTTGGAATTCCTTAAATTAGGAGCAGCTGAAGGAATTGGGAATGTTTAGCATAGAGAAGGGAAGATTTTGAGGAGAGAAGACTGACTGCAGTGTAATGTAGAGGAAATTGTTCTGGGATTTCAGTCAGGAAACCTGGGCCGACTAGTTAAAATACCCTTGGATAGTAATTATCTCCCTTGACCTTGGTTTCTGATTTTAAATATTTGAAGGATTTTCATGCACAAGCAAAGCTAGACTTTTAAAAACAAATTGCTCTAGAGCATAGAATTAGAATCAATGGGTAGAAATTACGTGGAGAAAAAGTAAAAGCCACCACAAGATGGGAAAAAATACTTGCAGTTCACAATCAACAAAGGATTAATAGTCATAATATATAAAGAGCTTCTATAAATCAATAAGAAAAACAAAACAAAAACTTAGTAGAAAAATGAACAAATGACATGAGTAGGCATTTCATTTTCAGAACATGAAACCCAAATGGTTGACAAACATGCGTTAAAAGATAACTTAGGCACATTAAAATTTTAGAGTTTATTTGAGCAGACATTGATTGATGAATTGAGCAGTGCCGGACGGCAAGCAGTTGGGCACCACTGAGGAGATTTGAGGGGAAAACTTTTATAAGGTGTTCACCGAAGCAAGACAAAATATTTGATTGTATAAAGTGGAAAGTCCCTAGAGATTAGTTGACAGTTTCTAATTGATTACACTTAAGTTTCATTTTACCACTTACATTGAGTTGGGTTTGGGTTTGCTTATGTAGGAACTCAAGGCACTAGAGCTGTCTCAGCCTAATGGGCTCCCAATTAATGATTTTGACACATGTTAAATTAATAATTGAGAAATCAAAGTAAGACCATGATGAGGTACCATTGTATACCTACCAGAATGTTGAAAATTAAGAAGTCTTGGTAAGTATATAGAGCAATAGGTGCTCTCATATCCTGCTGTGTAAATGTAAATTAGTATAACCACTATGGAAAACAAATTGCCTTTATATGTAAAGCTGAACGTTCCACTCCTAGGTATATTATTAAAGAAACTGTTATATACATGCCTCAGTAGAAATGTATGGAATGTTCATAGCATAATGATTGATAATACAAAAAACCGGAAACAACCCAAATGTCTACTACAAAAAAATGAAAAAATTGATTATGATATATTTACCGATGGAATACTATGTAGCAGTAAAAAATGAATAAAGTATAGCTACGTGTAAAACTATGAATGAATCTTAAAAACATAGTTTGGGTGAAAAAATGAAGTTATGGAAGTTACATATTGAGTGATACTATATTTTGAAGCTGAAGAACAAAATAAATCAATATGTTGCTTAGGTGTATATAATATATATACATGTGGGAAAACTATTTTAAAGAATGCAAGAATAATAAACACAGAGTTTAGGATAAAGGTTACTTAGGGTTGAGAAATGGGGAGAAGCTCAAAAGTAGATTAAAAGG